ATTCCCAATGAAACCATTAAATATAGTTTGATAATATGACACTAGATTTTCCACCACTGCCTATACCTACAATGCCATGATACACTTAAATAGCAGAATATTTAACTTGTACTTATTACTAAATTAGGACTATACTATTGTAATAATATGAGGAAACAGTGGGAAGGGAAAGTGGGGAGGGAGAAAAGGGATGGAAAGGGAGGGAATCTCTAAACCTACAAGAATATATCATGGAAAATGACAACAATAACATTTCTTTCTTTTTTTAAAAAAAAAGATTTATTTTTATTACAAAGTCAGATATACAGAGAGGAGGAGAGACAGAGAGGAAGAAGATCTTCCGTCCGATGATTCACTCCCCAAGTGAGCGCAACGGCCGGGGGAGCCAGGAACTTCTTCCGGGTCTCCCACACGGATGCAGGTTCCCAAAGCTTTGGACCTTCCTTGACTGATTTCCCAGGCCACAGGCAGAGAGCTGGATGGGAAGTGGAGCTGCCGGGATTAGAACCAGCGCCCATATGGCATGTTCAAGCCAAGGACTTAGGCCCCTAGACCATGCCACCGGGCCCAACATTTCTTAATAAATGACAATTTTAAAAACTTACAGTATTCAAAGTCAGAATTTGGCTTTGAGTATAACTGATGATGGGTTTGCATGCCTTCCTGTTTTGTCCTGTGATAAGGATGACATACAGGGTTCTCTGGCATGAGGGCATACACCAGGCATTGCCAGGTTGACCCCAACACTAACCTGTCTTCCCATCCTTTCCAATGGCCCATGGCCCTTCTCTTGCCCCAAGTCCTCCAAAGACACCCAGTGGTCTCTCCAACTTCTGTCCCCACCCATAAAGCCCTTTCCTTGATGTCCTCTTACATCTGCCTGTCGCCCTAGTATGGAAAATCTTCTAGTACAATTCTTCCAATTAATTGTAGTTAATCAAATATGTGCTTGTTTTTCCCATTAGATTATGGGCTCTTAGAGAACAGGAGTCACATTATTGATTTTTGATTCTTGAAGCAGTGTCTGGTACCTGGAAAGTATGCTGAACATGTTGGCTGATTGAGAAAGCCCATGTTGCCAGGGAATTCACTCACTGCCTCACTCATCATACTGCCCACATGTAACGTTTAGCTGTGTGAGATGACATTTAGCATATTCCAGATGCTAAATCAACACAATAAAATATGTAGTATGGTGACTTTTCTATATTACCTAGAGCTCAGTCTATATCATTATGATATTAGCAAATTTCTTTTTTAAAAAAAGATTTACTTATTTTTATTGCAAAGGCAGATATACAGAGAGGAGAAGAGACAGAGAGAAAGACCTTCTGTTTGATCATTCACTCCCCAAGCGGTCACAATGGCTGGAGATGTGCTGATCCGAAGCCAGCAGCCTGGAGCCTCTTCCGGACCTCCCATGTGGGTGCAGGGTCCCAAGGCTTTGGACCTTCCTTGGCTGATTTCCCAGGCCACAAGCAGGGAGCTGGATAGGAAGCAGGGCTGCTGGGATTAAAACCGGTGCCTATATGGGATCCTGGTGCATTCAAGGTGAGGACGTTAGCCACTAGGCCACTGTGCCAGGGACCCAGCACATTTTCTAATCTATATATTGAATTAGGTCCATTTGTTTTTAAATATCTGTTTATTTGAAAGACATAATTAGAATAGAGATATCAAGATCAAGATCTTCCATCACTTGTTCACTCTCCAAGTGGCTGCCAATGGCTGTGACTGGGCCAGGCCCAAACCAGGAGCTTTGAGCTCCCTCCGGGTCTCCCACATGCTTCCCACAAGCCCAAGCATTGTACCATTCTCCACTGCCTTACTAGGTTTATTAGTCCCTACTTCTACTCCCTAACTGGGCAATAGTAGGGAACTGGATTAGAAGTAGAGCACCAGGGACTTGAGCTGGTGCCAATATGGGATGCTGGCACTGCAGGTGGTGGCTTTATTCATTATGCCATAGCACTGAGCTAGGGCCATTATATAGTTCACACCATTAATCATCATGACAGTTTTTAAGATAAGTTTTCATTTCACAGAGAAGAAGACAGTTTGAGCGAGTAAATGATTGGCTCCACAACCAAATCCAGGAAGTGGCAGGAGTGGGCTGTAACCTTCAGGCCCTATGTGTGGTGCTTCCACATTACATCATGGAACTCCCTGCTCTGAGTGTTCTGATTATGCCTTTAGCCCTTACCCGTTGCGTCACTGTTAGGTTTAGGATCTAGGTCTGAAGAAGGTGCAGAAACAATTGGTCAAGACAGCAAAGACTTATTGTAGAAAAGACAGCATTATATAGGAAAGTAGGATTTTAGTCCACCTGGAGAGCAGCTGGAGAGGTCTGAAGTAAGGCTGCAGTCCCCTGGATTGTGGGCAGGTATATTTTGATGCTCTTTGTCTGGGAGGGGGTCATGTATTCTTCCAGAGACCCATGTCCACTGCAATAAAGTTGTCCTGGATGAGCAAAAAGCCACCTTGGTAGGTGTTTATAGGAATTGACAATGTGTGCTATGTGGTCTTAAAAGCTCAGGATATCCATGGCAAAGAGTTGCAAGCATCAAAGTCAAGCCGGCAGAATCTGAGACAGTGAAACAACACAGTGTTTTCTCAGGGTCATTTTGCTTGTGTCCAGTTTTACCAGGTGTGGACTTAATCATCTGTCACTTGTCAGGTTTTGATCTTCAGAGCTAATGAGAAGAAGCTGTTATTCGCCAGCTGCATTCTATTCCACTGATAGCCCTGCTAGTCATCCATCTACATGACTGATCGTATAAATTACCACATTGTTTCTTCATTTTATTTTTTTGCTATCCAACTTTATGTCACATCATAGAGGCCTTCAAACTAGCCATAATTTGTGGCTGACGGATTAGTTAGAAGGCTGCAAGTACAGGTAGGCTTTATGTTGATGAGAACCAGAACTGGAGCTCAAACTTGTGAACAAGCTGCCCAGGTGGCCAGGATAGAATTGGGGCTGGTACCAGCACTGCAATACATAGTATCAGTGTGCCTTACAATACACAATACCTGGTGATAGCTAAATATATACAAAGGCATTTATGGAAGCAACCTCGATGCTCATCCACTGATGGGCAAGGTAGGGAAATGTGATCTTATATATATATATTATATCACTATATATATACATATATATCATAATATATATATATTATGGAATACTGCTCAGCCATAAAAAAGAATGAAATCTTACCATTTGCAACAAAAATGGGCCCAGTTGGAAACCATTAGGCTTAGTAAAATAAGGTAATCCCCCAAAGTCACACATTATATATTCTCTCTGATCTTTGACAACTAATACAGAATAAAAAACAAAACAAAACAAAACAAAACAACCCATGGTCACTATAAATGAAACTAGCATATTGAGCATTAACTGCTGCATACAGCATGCATCCATACACATTTCTATTTTTGTTGTATTTAATGCTCTTATTTTTTCTTTTTCACATACTTGCCATGTTGTGATAGCTTTATATATGTGAAATGCCTTTATATATATATGAAATGCCTTTATATATGTGAAAGTTACATTTGTCACTGTGAAGCATATCTATGCTACTGTAATAATTTCGGAAAAATATTAGGGGATGGAAATAAGGAGTGTGAGGAGAAGGGAGGTAATTCTATTTTTCTAAATGTATGTTATTAAAAAACGTTAAATCTACCCACTTTATATAAATTAAAGTAGTAATAATGGAAAAATCTCATAGGGGCTCCCAAATAAGTATACTTATAATATAAACAGAGGCCAGAGAGTTTAATTTGCCATGTGTCAGGAAAAAAGAGGACTGCAATTCATTGCCTAAAATGCAGGTTAGGCTTAGCTCTTGGTGGGCTTGGAAAGTCAGAATGGGGTCCACAGGACTATTTTAAGAATATACTAGAAAGATTTCGTAAGGTAGTCAGACCAGGCTGACCCTTGGGAGAAGAGGAGAGAAAGCATGGGGTGGGAGGACAGGTGGGTTATGGCAATACTCCCTAGGGGCTGTTGCACAGTTCTGCTTACAAGAAATTTGCTCTCAGACACATTGTGCTTAAGATCACCGGACCAGTATAAACATCCAGAAGACAGTGGGAGGTAGAACAGGCAGAACAGTAGGGCTGCTCCTCCAAGCTGCAGACACAGCTCTGAAGGTAGATGAGGTCACCAAGGGCCAGGCTGTGGAGTAAACAGGGAGAGTTGATGTATTCTGAGGGCAGCGAATGCGGGGGCCACTGTGAACAGCAGGAACAGAGCAAGGACTTGGAGATGGCTGATAAACTAGTGATTGGAAGCCCCTTGAGAACAGCTCTGAGAAGCTGCTGGGGTGCCAAGGTTAAGAACAAGGAGGTAGGTACCATGAGACCAGGAACCAAGGATGCAAGTTAATGTTAAGCACTGGAGAGGGGTCTGAGGCTATGGGACAAGAGGAACTACAAGAGGGATCAGGCATGGATAAAGGATTCCTCAAACAAGGAGTTTGAAAGTGGTTTGCATTGCTCTATAGGTTATGATTTTCCAAAAATATATTTTGTACACTCCTTAGTCAGCATAGTGTTTATTTCACATGTATAATCTGTACACAGATGATAACATTGTCATAAGGTTTTATATTGACTCCAGTGACCTTGGAAAGGAGTCTGTCAGGGAACTGACAGGATTAGAGAACAGACAAGCATTTAAAAGTGGGAATACTCAAATGAAAAAAATGACCTCTTGGTTATTGGAAAGTAGGAAAGCCCATATATTTCACATCCCATGGAGTTTATAGAAGGAAACAGAACTTTCCTACGAGGCAGGAACTAATAATTCCACTGAATTAGAATGCACTTGGATGATTCACAATGTCTTTCATTTTTAAAAAAGATTTATTTATTTTATTGGAAAGCCAGATTTACAGAGAGGATAGACAGAAAGGTATTACATCTGCTGGTTCACTCTCTAACTGCCTGCAGTGACAGAGCTGAGCCTATCCTAAGCCAAGATCTAGGAGTTTCTTCCAGGTCTCCCATGTGGGTGAAGGGTCTTAAGGCTTTGAGTCATCTTCAATTACTTTCCCAGGCCATAAGCAGGGAGTTGGATCGGAAGTGGGGCAGCCGGGACACGAACCGGTGCCCATACAAGATGCTGGTGCTTGCAGGGGGAAGATTAGACAATTGAGTCATTGTGCCAGGTCCCACAATGCTTGCTAAATATTAGTAATAGCATTGAAGAAAACCCCAGTAAATACCTGTTAATTCGTTAATAACTATATCAATTATAAATAATAAAATAATATAGATTCAATATTAACAGTGTTAAAAATAAAATAACCTGTTTAAATGTCATGTAAATAACTTATTTGTGAAACAGACATTACTGTTTCATCATAGAGCATAATATTGAACTTATATGTTAAGATAAAATATTTATATAATTTTGAAGGTTAAATTTTTGAAGCACAATGATTTTGAAATTTAGTGAAGCTTCAGAATTAAGATTCAACAACTAATGTTGTGTCATCAGTGAGCTCTACTGCACATATGTGTTCATATGTGTAAACATACGTGTAAACATTTTTGACATCCAGTAAAATCTGTGGACCATAGAAATAAAAATTCAAGTACATAAAGTGATTTGCATTGTCCTTGTGCATGCTTTGCTATCTCTCTACAAATTTCGGATTTTTTTGAAACATCTTTTTTGGATTTTTGTGACAGTGCACGAAAACCTGGTGTGAGTGTTGGGGACAACCATGGAGAAGAACAGGGATCTAATGATGGAACGGGGATGCAGCCTGTGAGCTGAGGCGCTGATAATAAAGCCATTTGGAGGAACAGAGGTGCAGAGTGAGTAGCCTGAAGATATATGGGCACCAGGAATTCATAAAACCTTGGGCAGGACAATGGCCTCCTGAGGGCATTGGTAGGGAGGGGCCGCGACTGGCAGCCAATTTCCTATCAGTCTTCAGAGATTGTGAGCCCGCCCCCTCTGACACCTGCAGTACAATTTGATCGTTTCTGACTGATCCAAAGATGTTGGTGGATTCAGCAAGAGTGGACATGAGCAAGGGAACCCTCAGAGAGCTGGCTTGAAAATCCCGGAGGTTGGAGGGAGAACACGGATGCCAGCACAGCATTACGCAGACATAGTTTCTATCAGTGGTCACAGGGCAAGCTGCCCAGCTGCGAGTCATGATATTAAACTGTCTGCTGGACAGTCCCTCCGGGACTCTTCTGTTCTCCACGCTCATGAGTAATTGCTTCCTAGAAAACATATTCCTTCAGTGTTCCTCCCAAGCTGGAAGGATGTGACCCCACCAGAATGGGGACCCCTGGGCTTACTGCCTGTCCGGCAATGCTCTGAGGATTTGTAATTGTCATCAAAGTCAACGTACTGGGGAGGCAGGAAGCTCCAGCACTGCTCGGGCTCCTGTGTTGCGCTAAGAATGGAAGCTGAGGAACTTGGCCAAGGCCACCCAGGTCTCCCCACATCATCACCACAGACACCGATGAGACATTTCCTCTTAGCAATTTAGGCAAGTCACTGGCAAAGGGTGGGTACATGTGTGCAGACTCTTGATGGAGCAATTTAGGAAATTTTGGCTTACTTTGGCAGAAACATAGAACATATTCAATAAGATCTGTGAAAATGACTAGCTGAAACCATACCAAAAAGACGATTTTTTAACATGCAATTTGCATATATTTCATAATACACATTTTGCCAGGTTTTCCCAGCTTGCCCCAAGAAATGGGGTGAAAAAATAATTTCTCATTTTGTGGGATTTTTTTTGTAGCACTCATTGGATGTGCTGAAAGAGAATATGAAATTCATGGATGACGCATGACCTGCATGGGTCACATTTCTCATCTACCTATGCCAGTAAAGGCAAAAATTTAGGGTCCTTATATACAATACAGAGGTGCTACTGGGTTGCTGTTTCTGTGAAATGGTGTAACAGATTCTATTTGTTGGTCATGGTCATACCCATATCTCCTGTTTCACATATTCTTATAATGTGAGGCTGACATTCCTCCCAGGAAAAGGCAGGATCTTTTCTTCTTTGCTCCAGCTCCCTAAGAATTATGAGCGACTTCATTAGCAGTGTGTGGCAGCAAAGAGGAATGTGACTTCAAGAGCAGGCTGTAAAGTGGTGTTAAAAGAACAGAGCACCCCAGTTACGGGCAGCTACTTAGGTTATCTTGTACTTAGGCAAGTGCTTCATTGCTGGAAGAAAAGCAACCAATAACTGCAGGCATTCTGGACCTGGTTAATGTCAAATTTGTGTTTACTGTACCAGTGTGCCAACATAGTTGCCTATCCTATTTTTTTTTAAGATACATGGGGAGTTTGGAGAACACTGGGCTGGGGTTGCACCCCAGCCTGCAGGCAGGGGAGGGGGCAGCAGATGACCCAGTGATGGGAATTTGAGGACGTGTTGGAGTGGGAGCAGCTGAGGGCATGTTTGACAGGGGAGGAATGACTTCTGGGGTTTTCCACAGATCTGGCCACTGCGCTCACAGGTAGGTGAGGGAGTGGAGATGGACTGGTCTAGAAGCAGGAAACTGCAGGGTGTGTCTGGGTTAGGCCAAGGCACCTGCCCTTGTGGGAGACCTAGGCTGGGCCCATGCAAAAGCTGGCCTTGGGCACATGCCTGGATGGGCTAGGTGGCATTACCCACTTGTGAGTGTCAGAGCAGGGGGTAGGCCATGTCAGGCTAGGCCACATCATCCACCACAACGTGAGAGAACTGGATTTTTTAGGGGTAAATTCTGCAGAATTGTGATCTCACCTTTGTGGGATTTGCTCGAGAGCTGGGGGTGGTGATGGGCTGAGCCAGGCTGGATGCTTGAAAATCCCCTGATGCTCACAGAAGTCAGGGATACAGCATCCACCTGCACAGACAAAGCCTGGGACTGAGAGCAGTCATGCCAGGCAAGGCTACGGCAGCCACCAGTATACATGAGATCCACAGCTGGGAGTGGGTCTAGTAGGGGAACTTGGGGAATTCCTCTGCCAGTCTGCAGCTCCCACTGGGAAGCACAATAGCCAGTGCTGGGTGTGGGCCAGGTCAGGCAGGGTTGCAACACTCATCAGCAGTAGTGTGGGCTTAGGCTGGGGGCAGACAGAGTTGGGCCAGGCCGCAGCACCTGCTGGCATACGTGAGAGCCAGAACAGGGTATGGGGCTGTGCCTGGCAGGCTAAGCTGTAACAATAGCCAGTGAGAGCTAAGACTGTAAGCAGACAATGCCAGGTTGGGGTGAAGTACCTGCTGGCATGTGCAAGACATAGGGCAGGGAATGGGTCTGGTAGGGGAAATTTGGGGACTCCCCTGCTGGATGTTGCTTCCACTAATGAATATGAGAACTGGGACTGCGGTTGGCCCTGTCCAGGCAGGGCTGTAGCACCCATCAGCTGTTAAGTAGGCTGGGGCTAGGCTGGAGCATCTGCTGTTAAGTACTGCGACTGGGTGTGAGTCATGTCAGGCAGTTTCACAGTATGTCTTGGCAATCATAAAATCTGGGGCTAGCAGTGGGCCTGGTAGGGGAACTATGGGCATTTCCCTGCTGTGCTGCAGCTCCTGCTGGTTAGCTTGAGAGCCAGAGCTGGTGCTCAGCTAAGCTGCAGCACCCATGGGTGTGCATGAGAGCCAGAGCAGTGCAGGATGCACTGGGTCAGGCCTTAGTATATGCAAAAACCAGGGTCGGGAGTGGGCCTGATAGGGCTAATTGGAGATCAGCCTGACTAGACCATGGCATCTCCCGGCGTGCGTGCAGACCTGGTCTGTGGCCAGCTGAGCTGGGCTAGGCTGCAGCACTCATCAGTTCATGTGAGAGATGGAGATGGAAGTGAAACTGACCAGGCAGCTGCATCTGCTGGTATGTGTGTTGACTGGTACAAGTGATGGGCTGAACCTGACCCTATATTGGCTGAGTCACCCAAGTGTCAAGTCTGAGGTCACCCCAGGCAATATTTCTTAGGGGACTCCCCAACTAGATTGCCGGGCTCAAAGTCCAGCCACCAAGAAAATTACAGTATATGTGGTCCAACTTCTGAGTACATGCATCAGGACTGTGCCTCCTCAGTTGCTGATGCAATGCAGTGGACAACATGCCCAGAGATACACGGGGAACATGATAGCTGGCTCCTCTAGGCCAGCAGAGGCTGTCGAGTGCCATGTCAGAAGATGGAAAGCAGTACAGATTGTAACACTCTCCTGGCCAAGCTTTAAAACATGTTTGTGGGACTGTGGATGCACTAAGATGAACTTGGTCAGCCAACAGACCATGGAAAGATTTTTTCAACCTTGGTGCAGTGAAGCTGAAAACATCCTAGAACTATCAAAAACCATCCAAGTTATACCCTTGGAATATTCTTCCACACAGTGGGGTCTCTAAGGTTACATCAAATGACTGTCCCCCGATCTCTGGGTGCTAAAGTAGTTTGACAGCAAGGAGCGGCTCCCTTCTGTGACACAGGAGAAAAAAAAAAAGAACTGAAACATTTGTCCCCTCCACCTTTCTCCATACCACTAGACCTGCCACTCAGAGGCCCACATGGGCATTTATCCCTGTCAACTATGTAAACAATATTGACAAACTAAAAATGAAAAGAACAAAGCATACCAATAAAGGGAAGAACAGAGAATCTTGTTTCTTGAAATACTCCCTTTGAAAAACTAAGTCACCACTAAGGTGGCTGTGTACCCTGAAGCGGCGAAGCAGGGAGCAAGCTCAGGCACTGTGCAGAGGCTGTTCTGGCGGATGGATCCTGTTGAGATTCCTGGCAGCAGCTAGACTCCAAAGCCAGACAAGAGCGTGAAAATGCCACCAGGTGACTACAGCTCCCAGCCCTCAAATCTTTCCCATCGTGGTCCCAGACATTGTTTAATGAGAAATGAGCAGTTTTCACTGGACCCTGGACAAATTCTTCACTCATATAATCCAAGTGTCCAAAAAAAAGTTGCTTGAAAGCAAACCATTAGAAGTTAAGAGAGAGGAGGGAATAAATTCTCCCCTAGTCC